TACTTAGATAGAGATGGTTGTAGCCACTCAATAAGAAGCGAGTGTGCGCCCGGCCGATTAAATTAATTAATAGATAAAAAAACAAAGAAAAACAAAAACAATGTATATATATATATATATATATATATATATATATATTAAAAATAATAATTGAGTGATAGGGCCCGCCACCCCTATCTTTCACCAAAAAAGATTCAAATTTAGTTGCCAAAAAAATCAAAATAAAGAGACTAATATTATTAGGTTATTATCTCATGAGATTATTTTATTATATGCTTAATATTAGACTATTAGCTAATTAGAATAAAAAAAATTAGTACTAGCTCATAGGATATTAATAAATGTAAAAAATAATATTAATATGAGTTTATTGAATATTAAAAAAATATTAGTTTATGAGATATTTTAAGAGAAAAAAATAACACTAACTTATACCACTTAATAATTTATTTTTAAGTTGCTTTATCAATTACCTTATATTGCAAATATGAATTTATTTATTTATTTTTTAATTTTATTAAAATATGATTGTAAATTTATATTTTTCAATTTTATATTTCTACCTACACTAATTATTATATATTAGATTTATTTATTTATTTATTTTAAAATTTATTTATTTATTAAAATATTTTTTAAATTCTATACTTTATCAATTATTATATATTAGATTTATTTATTTATTTAATAAAATATATTTTAACATTCTATACTTTATCAATTATTATATATTAGATTTATTTATTTATTTATAGGATTGTGTTTATTATAATATTGCAATTAAGAATTATACTAATTACAATGATAACCAAGTCTTATATTTTATTTATTAATTTATTTACATTATAAATTATGCAATGTATTATTTTTTGTTATAGTTGTAAATTAGATTTTTTTAAATGAGATGGTATTATAAGACAAAATTCAAATTTATTCTTACTTGTATAATAAAATGATGATAAAATAATAAAATATAAACCAATAATTCTAATTTCAATGTATTATACTGTATTTAGTTAGGTTTTAATAAATGTTTGATGAGAATCTTAATACGGGGAAAGAACATCTCAATATTCGCATATTGATGCAAAAAAATAAAAGTTATTAATGTAGTGCCCTCATTTCTTATTGGATTCCTTAAAAACAACATTTATAATGATTTTTAATCAATTTTTTTAATTTTTTTAAGGCCAAATTCGATCGATTCTCGATCCGAAACTCCGATTTATCGATCTGGATGGGTTTTTGAGATGCCTAATCCAGGGCACGGATCCGTTTTTTAAACCACTTACGAAAACTATAGGAGTATTCATTTAGAACAAAGTCCTTGAGAAAGCCACAACTAGGGGTGGCAATGGACCCAAACCCGACCCATACCGGCCGAGTATACCCAACACAGGTCTGGGTATGGGTCCAAGTTTTGGACCCGCAGGTAGGGCTCGGGTCCAATAAAAGATACTCGGATAATCCCGGATCCGGGTACAGATCCTGCTACACCCGACCCGATGGGTACCCAAACCGAAATTTTTAGTTTACCCAAAGGCCAAAGCCCCAACCTTAGAATCGTTTCAATATTTTTGGTCTTCTCTTGGTTCCCCAAATGGCCAAACCCCATCGCCATCCTCCCACTGACGGAAACTATAGGAGTGTGCAATTTCGAACAAAGTCATTGAGAAAAGCCACAACTAGGGGTGGCAATGGACCCGGACCCAACCCATACCCGTTGGGTATACCCGACACAAGTCTGGGTATGGGTCCAAGTTTTGGCTACAGGTAGGGTCCGGATCCAATAAAAGATACCTGGATAGTCCCGGGTCCGGGTACGGGCCCTGCTATACCCGACCCGATGGGTGCCCGGACCCGAACTTTTAGTTTACCCAAAAGCCAAAGCCCCAACCTTTAAATCGTTTCAATATTTTTGGTCTTCCTCTGGTTCCCCAAATGGCCAAACCCCATCGTCATCCTCCTTTTGTGCAATTCTCCCTCTCTCAATTTCTTGGAGACAACTCTCTATCTGGATCTCGAATGTGTCTCTCTCTAATCGCCCACCCTACAAAACCCAATTCTTTGTTTTTCACCATTGTAGGCTACAAAAAAAGGAAGCTCATTGTAAATATGACAATGGACCTGACCAAACCCGGGACCCGACGGGTATAGGTATGGATCAAACTTTTGGATCCGACAAGTCAGGTCCAGGTCCAAAACTTGGACCCAAATACATTAGGGTCTAAGTCCAGATCCAACCGTACCCAACCCATACACGACCCGTTGCCACCCCTAGGCACAACCAAAAAGTCCTAGAATATCTAGAAGACTCCATGACAGATTTCATAGGAAAAAAAGAACCCAAAAGAGACTCTCAATCTTCCACATGTATTAAATCATCCAAATTTATCAAATTCTAGATCTTCTAAATCAGACACGAAGCATATTGCCCAATCTGAGTTACCGTTAAATTTTCGAGCATTAAAAATTAGAAAGCTTTGGTTATACTATTCCTGCGAAGAACGAAATTCATTTATCCGAAATATTAAAAACATCGATATGCACTCATTGCTTCTACAATGCTTACCAATCTGTCAATCTTAATAAGAAAAAATAAATTCACATTGCATCACACAAAAGCCATGCCACCCATGAATATGATTAGAAACTTTAGTTTTCGCTTTCTGGCTCTAAATTCCACCATGAACATTTCTATTATCCATGATTATAGTACTTGCTTCACCTTCCAGATCCATATCAAGCCATCATGTTGATCACAGTTTTTTGAGGTATCACATTCAATGTTTAATTACTCGGCTGGGTATAGAACTCAGCCACTGCCCATGCCAAGTAACTCGGGCAAGTCCAAGTGGACTCATCCATGTCCTTCCCAAGCAATGAGGGAATAAAAAATGACACCAAAGCTGGTGGAGTTCAGTGCAGGATCGCTATTGCGTATCGGTGAGTGATGTCGCAAATTGTGGGCCAAGCGTGAGAAGGCCAAGGGAGCTCAAATACTCAACATAAATTTTACAGAGAAGGATAAAACAATGTGTCATCTTGAAGAGACTGCAGTACCTTCCACACACAGAGGCAGAGAGAGAAGATAGATGAGGAAATGGGATTGAAGGAAGAGATTGAAGAATATGCTGAGAAAACCAAGGTTCTACCCCCAACCAGTCATAATCTGTGGCCTCTACAAGCAAGCCACTGTTGGCCTGTTAACCCTAGCCGACCTAGGATTTTCAACCTAATCAAATAAATGAAATGGGAGGGATGGAAGGGTGTTGACGAGAAATCCAAAGAAGAGGCAATAAGCAACAACTTCAACAAGGATTTTTAAAGGAAATTACGGACAGATGGTTTTTGTAAAGTTGCTGCAGGCCAGATACAGAAAGAGCGCTTTAAAAAAAATTAGAGCAAGAGAAAGATGAAACAAAAGGGGCAAATTGCTGCGCCCTATTTTATTTTTTCTTTCAGCACTAGTTTTCTGTCAAGTAGCATAGTAACTCACCACTCAGGCGAGTTTTTGTTGCTACAGTAGACACTCAAGTACTCCACAGGTACCTCACCACCAATTTTGGACCCATTTACTCGTCTAGATACCCTGCCAAGTAACTCGGCCAAGTCCGAATCAACTCAGCCGATATCTTGAAGACTGATTCCACTATCTCAACCAACTCAATCTAAGACTCAAGAGTGACCAGTCGTGAAATTAAGGCCAAATTACAGCGGCCCGTTCAAGCCCTAATAAGATGGGTGTATTAACCGACAAATATGAAATAAGATCTTCCAACCTTCAGCAAAAACACAAATATCTAATTATTATGTTGTTCCTCCTGTATAGTATCTCTACAGTCCAAGTACATCGAATTGCACAACATATCTTATTCTCAATTATGTATATATAATAAGCTTGGACTTTCACTGACCTGCTAACGACTAAATTTTGTCAAATATACAAGATGTCACAAGCCCCTAGAAATCCCAAAAGTATCGTACGCACACGGACAGCATGCTGCATCCCTGTATGTTGGAGTAGATCAAAGTGAAAGTAAAAACGCATAAAGAGATGACAAATACTTAGGGTTTATTTTATTTTATTTTATTCCATTTCATTTCATTTCATTTTGAAGGCTGATGACCAACACCTACGTTGGCATGTCACTTAAAGAATGAACAATATAATCTCTCCAACAATGAACTAATCATCGACACACAAATGCACAGCCATTTAATATCTATCAGAAAACCATTTAAGGTGATAATTTTGTGAAGAGTAACGCAACACCATCTCAAGGAAATAAATCCTATTCACTATATGCATAGAATTTTATGTAAACCAGGTTACCACTCGAAGGAAAATGATCTGATTTCAAAGATGACTGTAACTGTGGGATAGTGCTCTTTATTCACAAGAATCACAACCTCTGGTACCATCACAATTCAATTGCTTAAATAGCTTTATAATGGTTAACAAAATTGCTATTGAAGAGAGAATTCATACATGATGAGCATATTGCTAGCACAAGGTTGCTAGTCAATATCTGCATATAATTTTGTTCTCTTCATTCATCTTTTTATATGTACCTCCACTGACAGCTAACTTCAAGGCCTCAAAGCAGATTCTTCCAACTGGATCTGGATTCAACTGGTCATGCCATCTCATTGAGCAAAAGCATGAGTTGTGTGACTCAATTCATAAACCCTGTGGATCTATGTTACTCTTTAACAATATACAAATTCCAGAAAATATGGATGGCATATATTTATGAAAAGGAGGAAAACAGAATAAAAACATAAAAAACACAAAGTTACTTTTAATAAAAACATAAACAACACCAAGTTTCCAATTACAAATTATAGATTTTTCTATTTTCTTCTACAAATTGGGATTCCTGCATCCACATTTTGATTTATCAGCAATTGCTCTCATTGTTCATGTCATAGAGTTCAGTTCAAATTGCTGAGAGAGAAAACAGATACATTCTGTTTCCATGATACATAGTTCAAAACTCAAATCTTTATCTAAAAAGTAAAGAACGGCTCAGGATTCATTTAACAAGACTCAAGAGTTAAAATCAATGTCAATTGTATCAACATTTATAAACAACAACATTTTTTTGAGAAAAGTCATCTATAAACAACAACTTACCAAATAAGTTCAATTTCTTTATTCCCAATTTTCAGGATTCATCTTTATTTCTTTTCACAAAAAGTAATATGAAGAACAGATATGGCTCGAACTGCTGCTCTAAGGGGTTCAGGGAAAATTCTTCATCAAGTACCAAGAATTCTCATTTATTTAGGAAAAGAATCTGGATTTCTGTTAAACAGGAGAAAGAATTCTGATACCCAATAGGAAATCTATTTCATAAGGGGGCTTATGGAATCATAGCTTCAGAGAGATGACAACTGTGCCCATTTGATCCTTATCAGGCCATCAAGCAAATAAAACACCGTTCGAGTCTCTCTCATGTCCAAGAAGAAAAGTACACTCACCCAAGACGATTGACTCACTTGAGTAAGTAAAATCAATTCAATTACTTAATCGAGTAACATATAACTCAACAGAGTCAGCTAAAAAAGAAGTTTATATATAGCAATGGCATTCGAAGTCCTAAAGAGTCAGGTTGTATTGAGTGAACCCTCCACATCAACTCTGAACAAGTCTTCAAAATGCATTCTCCCTGAATCCAAGAATTTAAATTCATGGCATGCACCCATTCATCACATAACTTTATATTCTGTCATAATTCACAATAGAATTTCCACATGCAAACTATTGAACTCACCATTTAGGTATAGAATTCGTCCAAAAAGGTGCCTGGACTTTAATGGTCAAGTGGTAGTCTAGGATTCCATGCTCTATAAAAAAAATAAGGCTCAAGAAGGAGCCTACAATAACGTTACTTGCCCCATAGCTGAAAATCCTTGTGGTGGTGTTTCATGCTCTAACCAAACCACTCAATGTCAAAAGACCACAAATAGCACAACATTCACAAAAAGTGCTGCTTCTTGACATTCAAATTTAAAATGCAAAAGAATAGAATTTTCAAGCTCCAGCTAGATATCTTAGCTCGAACAGAAGTTTCCCTTTTATACAAGATTCTCAGTCTCTCATACACAAGGATTTCTATATCAGCCAGAAAAGAGTTCAATGAGCATATCCTCAAGCCTTTGTGGAGGTCTCAGAATACAGAAGAAACATATCGCATGTCACTGTGTTAAAGCTAAAAACATCCAACACACAGGGAGAAGCGCTGCTCATGTGATGAAAATTTTGGTTAATTAACCATGTTTAAGGCAGTTGAATTCCGATCCAATATAAGAATTCCATAGGCATTGCTCCTATGGTAAACTCAACCCATAATCACCCATTTGGATACCAATTCCACCTAGAACTAGTCAAGGCAGCCAGAGACCATTACATGAGATGGCATGCATACAAAAGACATAACAAGATGGTCATGATAAAGTAGACTCCTTGAAACGGAAAAATGCCAAAATTATAAAACTACAAGCAGGGGGTGTGTCAGGGTTCATGGGAACCTCTTCATTGAAATTAATAAACATAATATTGTAATTTTCGTACTAAACTATACATGTGCCTCTGCAATTTAAAGTTCATGATATTTCTTTTACAAATGCACTTGTACACACAATTGACAAAATATTTTACAAACCATGTCTAGTTTTGTTGAGATGAATGAGGGGCAAAACAAGGAATGATATCAGAATATATATTTGAGGGACCTTAGGGGTAGCTCCAATAGATGATTAACACGAGGGAAAATAGACTTAGGTGATCTCGTAATGTGTAGCGTCGTTCTAGAACAACACTCGTAAGGGGATCGATTTGGTTCAGGTTTTGAAGGCTCTATAAAAGGGAACGGGGAAGGCTCCAAAGGACACGGATGGAAGTAATAAAAAAATATATGGTTAGTGATGACTTATGGTCTAACTGAGGGGATGGCCCTTGACAGAGTAGAATGTTGGAAAAGGATTTGTATAACCGACCCAAATAGTTGGTTAAGGTTCGGATGATGGTGATAATGCCTAGCTTACTTTGTGGTGATAATATTATTGTTTTTATTAATTGTACGTTATATATAGTATACAATATGTTGTATAAACATGCATGAATAGGCAAATGTAGTACGTTGTAATTCATTGACATATAGTCAGCAAAAAATACAACTTTAGAGTAAGAGCATCTTGTAGTCTATTATATTTTAGAATTATTTGAAATACAAGAAAATAGGGAAAATCAACGAGTCAAGATATCCCTATTGCAATTCAACACATTCTGGCTCAGAGAAGAGCGGCAATCCAACCGTCACTTTTTGAACTTTCAAAAAAAAAACAGATGTCAATATGGCAAGGAAGCGGGAAGGTAGCTCCAAATAAAATCTCACTAGTTCATCAAGATGCAACAAGAGAATTAACATCCTCATTTGCTACTCTAAGGACAACATGAAACAAAAATCACAAAGTTGCTGCAATTGGTAATCCCATCCCTAATGTCCACAACCCCCAATAAGACATGTCCATTTATAATGTTAAGCAATCCATTTTCTACTACTGTAAGAACAAACAAAGACCCCTTTAGAAATGCCCATGCATCTAAGTGAGATTGCAATTAACCCATTTGCTCAATGAAGACCTTGATTGCCCTTTGTGACTATCCTAGAAATAGCCAAACACATAGACAAGCCAAGGGATTTGTCATCCAAGTTGAACTCCAAGATTTCATCGAGTAGCACACCTTATAAAACATAAGGGCTATATCTTCAAACTTCAGTCCTTTTGAGGGGCAAATTTTCTTGAAAAACGTTGCGCCAAGGGGATTGCCCCATAGACAAGTGTGATATGCAAGTTAGTCATAAAAAGGTACAGGACAAGGATTGTGGAGGTGTCAAGGTCTCCTAGTTTGAATAGGATTGCAAAATGTTTGAATAGGATTGCAGAATGTAAGGTCTAGATACGTAAATTGAAGATAGGGTCAATTATTAAGGTTTGCTTTAAGGATTTTGGGTAGGAATACCTTTCTATAGATTAAAAGTCCAGCAGGATATAATGATGATGGCGAAGGAAATACAGCGTCTAAACTAGGGTTTGAAGGCCGCTGTGGGTGGATATATAGTTAGGACAGCCATTGAGGTAGTTTAACTAAGGTCTAGACATGTACGACAAGGGTTTATGGAAGAGTATATATGGGTAACAGGTTTGCTTGATCCCTCTGTATATCTGGCTAAGAGGTTTGGTTGATCCCTCCCTCCCTCCTCCCTCCCTGTTGATCCCTCCATATATATGGGTTAAATGGTTTGGTTGATCCCCCTCCCTCCCTCCCTTGGAATCATCACATCACGCCATAATTGGAAACCCAAATTTTATTACTCCCTGTCTCCCTTGGAAGTTGGAATCATCACGTCATGCCACAATTAGAAAGCTTGAGGTTGAGCTTAAGGTTCACTTGTCAGTCGGGCTTTAGAGCACCTTCACTACCACCTTCTTGATGATTTCCATCCTTTGGAGAGTGTCTTGGCTGTCCTAGGAGTAGAGCCAACTCCATTGGAAAGGATAGAGAACCTCATACCCTTTGGGCCAAAAAGGAAAAAAATCAATGTGACCTTTCTGAAGCCTAGCTCTTACTTCCTTGTCTGCTGGGATTGGTTGTGGGCTGGTTTGCCACAGCTCTTTCTTTTTTCTTTTACTTCTTTTCTTCTTTTTTTTAATGTTCTTTGCCATGGCTCTTTCTCTAACCAAATACATTGAAAATTTCTCACATGGTTTCATTCAATCCACTAAACCTCATTGGGGAAACCCATTAGGAAATTGGCAGCAAAGTGACCTTCAAAATGCTCTCTTAGCTTTATTAGTCTAACCAGCAAACCTCCCATCACCCAAACTTCCTTCCTAACAACTCCAAGGAATCATCATAGCCCTTTCCAAATGTTGCTTTGGCAACAAGACTTAGGTATACCTAAGAGAGTCCTACTCCCACAAGAATCTGCAATACTGCCATCACCTATGTGACGTAGTAGAAATTTACTAACGACCAACACCCGGCAAAAAAACCGTGTTTTAGAGAGAGAAATAAAAAACAGAGAAGAAATCTGCATGAAGATAGCACAGGCGTGAGAATCCGAGTCCTCTACTACGCACCACCAAAGCACAAAAAAGAAAAACTCACAAAAAAGGCTCTCTCTCTCTCTACAAAAAACTTTCTTTTTCATTCGACTTAAAACAATCTCTTTTCAATAAACGGGTTACATTTATAACCACCACCATCTTTTTAAAAGATAAACCACACTCCCTACTTCATTCTTTCCATCTACATAACCCATCATCATCTCTAAGTTCCACCCAAAAAGATAAACCCATCGTCATCTATACATTCCAGCCCAACCCAAAAAGATAACAATTCCTTCAAAACAGGAAACAAAACATACTTCCTAAAAACCAAAGATAACCTTCCTTCTGCAATCTAACTCCTATCCAAAAGAACTAAAACCCATGAACTCTTTTATTTCTTAACAAGAACTAAAACCCACAGACATGTTTATCTGTTAACCACCCTTACTTATAAAAAGGATTCACTTTAAGAAAAATGGACCCTTCCAAAGAAGACTCATTCCTCGTAAAAAA